TGAAATGTATTATTACCTCTCATATAATAAAAAGAGAAAAAAAAAAGCTAAGTGAGTACTGAACTGACAGGACCAGCCTCCCAATCCCATGGATCAAGTCCGATCTTGTTAATTTTCAAGTTACCACTGGATAAGACTGGACTATTAGTTGCTTAATCCAGTCCTTTTCATGAAAGAGACTAGGCTTTGGGTTAGGATGAAGTTTAGTGCCGTCTTATCTTTTGTGCAGCCCTAATTGTCATCGTGGGAAAGCTTCACGGCTCTTTTAACAAATGGATTATAATGCTTTGCTGTCATTGTGTGAAGGCTTTACAATTATTTTATGTTAGTAGATGATGTAAAAGACCATGGGCCTATATTGAAAACACAATTTTGCTAGTAAAAAAATTATTTAAAAAGATATCACACCATTGTTGGTGTCTTCTATGAAAAAAAAAGAAGAAGTGGTCTTTTAACTCTAATTTCATGTATGAAATCTTAGGCTTAATGGAAATGGAGGCCGAGCATCAACCACCATGGAGCGTGGCAGAACAGCGTGCTATTTCCCCGCACGCTTCCTGCCAAATTTTGCTAATTAACTATCAGCATTGCATTAACCTTTTTTGCTTCCATTCAATCAGCTTGTTTGGATTGAATAATTAATCGATTATTTATTGATTTCAATAAAATTTTGCCAGACAACCAAAAATTGAAATAATTCATTATTAAAGCAAAATGTTGTTTTGAAATAAGTTGGAGAGAGGCTGCTTATCAATTCTCAATTTTACCGTTAAAGCCTTAACTATTTGTTAGCATCTCTAAACTATCAATATTTATCCCAGTGTTATTACACATTTAATTTAAATTTTTATAATTAATCAAATATATAATTTAAATAATATATTTTACTTCTTAAATAAAATTTAAAAAATTTAACAATATTAGAAGCAAATTTATTAATAATTTAATTTTAAAAAGTAATATCTTTTATGATAATTTGCACAACTAAAATTAATTTTGACTAAATTATTCAAATATTTACTTCTATCAAAATTAATTTTTAAAAAATAATATTCAAACAGATTGCATTATAATATAATCAATTATAATTGAAATCAGTCATATAAATTAATTATTTTTATAATTAATTATATCCAATTGAAATTTAAACGGGCTCAATATCTTTTTTATTATATTTGTTTCAACTTTTGTAAACTAATCACATGATAAAAAAATTAGACTTCTAATTGTCTTCGTAGATTACGGGCACGTTTGTTTCAATTTTCTCAATAAAAGAATCACTTAATTTTGAAAAAAAAAACATAGTTTATGAATTTTTTATGAAGTTTGTTTTAAAAATACAGGATATACAGATATATTAACGTTTTAAAATAACTAGGTAATAAATAATTTTTATACACAGAAATTAAGAAATACAGTAAATCATAAATTTTAAAAATAATCAACTAATAGTTACTTTTTTTGTTATGACAATCAAACATAAAATAATACCTACTTTTTATAAAATTTTTATAAAATAATTTTCTTTTTATAAAATTCTTGAGCCATATAAAAATTACTTATTTTTCAGTGTTGAATAAACCGTCCCCTTATATGCTACTTTAAAGTTTAAACTTTAAACAGCTTCTAGATAATTTTAAGAAAACTCTTGGGCAGAACTAGTCTTTTTTATTAGTAAGCCAAGTGTAAAGTTAATAACTTTTGCTTTTCATAAAATAGTTCAAATGTTAGTAGCAGAGGAATTACTAGAATGAATGTAAAAAGGCTTAGTATGTTACAAGCATCAATTCACGTTATGGTGGTGGTTTTTTTTTCCTTCCTCTCTTTCTTTCTCTGTGTCATTATACATTGAATTTAGGTTGTGTTTAAATTGATTAATTTAGATATTTATTTTAGATTTAAAATTTTGTATTTTAAATCTTACATTTAAAATCAATATATTTAAAAATATTTATTTGGACAGTTTAAAGAACTTAAAATGAAGAAGAGAGATAAAGTAAAATTTGAAATAAAAATGAAAAATAATAAGTTTATTTATATTTTTTAATTAACAAGAGATATAAAAAAAATACGAGAGTCGTAAAAGTATTAATAGTAAAAATACAAAGAGAGCAATAGTTTGAAGTAATTAAAATTTTAAATGACTAAAATATAAAGTTACAAATAAATTATAATTTAAAATTGATTTAGATTTAAAAAAGATCTAAACAATTTAGATTTGGATTTGTATTGAATCCTTCATTTAAATATACAAACATTTATAAATTTAAATTTGATTTAAATCTAAATCAACTTCAAATTATAATTGATTTGTACTTTTAAATGTTTTTATACCATAGTCATTTGAAAATTATAATCATTTCAAATATCTCATCCTTTTCACATTTCTACAATTTAGGCATCTATAATTTTAGTATCATTTTCTCACTTTTTATTGATTAAAAAATATAAATAAACTCATCATTTTTAGTTTTTATTTTAAATTTCAGTTAATATCTCTCTTTTTCATTTAAAAAATTTTAAACCATTAAACCATAAATTTTAAATATAAGATTTGAATTACAAAATTTTAAATCTAAAATTCAAATACAAGTCAATTGAAGGTTTTTTTGTGTGTTGTTATCTCTTCTCTTTATCTTATTTGCTAAGCTGGGACATTTTATTTTAAGACTGTACAATTTTCAATGGATTTAGCCCTGTTTAGTATAATGAAATCATTTCTAGGAAATAGGAAAAGAAATGGAAATATAAATCTCACCATTACATAGTGGTTGATAAGAGAGATCCTCCTATGAATTATAATACTCTAAAGTCTAAAACTCTGATTTTATACTTGCATCTTTCAGTTAAAAAAAAAAGAAATATAAATGAAAATAGGAGTGAGTTTAAAAAAACGTGTTGGTATGATGGTGGAATGAAATGTAATTTTTTATTATATATGTATGATTGCAATGGCAAAGTACCATATTGCTTTTTTCCCCTTCGCTGAAAAAAAATCCTTCAATCTAAAAGTCCTTTCAGTTGCATAAGAAACCGGGAGGATGAAGGCACAGTGAAGGCAAATCTGAACCCATGTGAGAACCTTCTTAGACTTGAACTCACCACAAACCAAACCCCCATCGTCTCGAACCATTTTTTGATGATCTACTCAAGCCACCTGTCACCGTAACAAGATAGCAAAGGGAAGCCAAGAATAGATCCGCAATCGCGAAGGGAGAGAGAGCGCCTCCGTCCATCGCCATAGCAAGATCGTGGTCGGGTACAAGTTGCTTTACCAGCAACAATGGAGCTATGACGGCAATGGAGGTACTGGTGACAAAAGAGATTGGCGGTGTCAATTGGGAGATGAAGAGGTTAAGGACGAGGAGGAGTCGGGTGGCGAGGGTCGACAGAGAAGGTTGGACGGCAGTGGGGAAGAAGGTAAGCAACAATTCATGGAAGAAGAACGCCGTTGAAGGAGGACGACGGAGAGACTGGAAGAAGAGCGGAGGAAGGGGGAAGAGCAAAATAAAATTGAAGGGTAATTTTATCTGAAAAAATTAGTAAACAATGATAGTTTAGTTTAGTGTTTTTTTTTTTTTTTTTAAGTTCATTCTCAAGGAATGAGAAGCTGGGAGCCATTCCTCTGCTCCGGTGATGGAATGGCCATTACCTTAAATGAGATAATGGACTATTTCATCGAAATAAACTCTCCTGTAACCTAAACATTTAAAATAATCATTTATATCAAACCAGGCCTTATTGTATCGAAAAATTTGGAATCTCAACAAAAATTATTTTAAAAAAAATATGATTTAACAACTATAGAAATAATTTAATATCAAATAATGATAAAAAATTTTAAAATATCATTGCAAGTTTAAATGAATGATTTAAAAATAACTTTGAATATAAAGAAAACTATAACTCTTTCTTTTTAAAAATTTGTTAACTAGTAAATTGCTTATTGTTAAATGCAAATGAATATTTATTAATTAATGAACGGTTACTTATTGAAATATGATTTATATTTTTTTCTTTCTACAATTAAGTTCTTTTAAATTTTTAAACTTATCAATTAACGAATGCTTCTTATCAAATGCAGATAAATGCTTGTAATTGATAAATGATTATTTATTGTGATATATATTTGTCTTTTCTCACAATTAAATTTTTTCATATTATTAAATTTATTAATTAAGGAATGATTTGTTATTAAATATGAATATATACTTGTTAATTTATAAATTATTACTTGTTAAGTAAAAGAAGTAACGGTATTATAATTTTTTTCATATAAAATTATTTTAAAATCAGTATCCAAGTCTTAATGTTTTTGAATGACATTTTTCTAATTATTTTTTTTTTCCAATCAACTCAACCAAAATTGTTGGAGAGCCCAATATGCTATAACTTATAACCCAATTCCTCAAACACCATCCTACTGCTTTTTAATAGTTGCAAAGTTTTTGCTCCAAAAAACAAAAAAACGTTGCAAAGGTTTTTTTCTTTTTTTTTTTTCCCCACAAAAGTTGCCGAGTTTGTTATCAAGTCTAAAAATAAAGTAATCCTAATTTTGTTATCCATAATCTATCAGGTGGCATATTTATTTTAAATATATTTAAATGGTCTTGATTTTGGATTTTTTAGAAGACGGGAATCAAGAAACGAGAGACAAGTCAGGAAAATAAATAAAAAATAAATTTTGGAAACCATTTCCAACAATAATAATTATTATGAACATTGTTAATAATATTTTACAAGTATAACATGTATGTAGAAAAAGGAACTTGATTTTTTTTGAAAAATTCTCCATGCTCATATTCCTCTCTAACATTTCAAATTTCTGAAATTCAAATAAAAATCTTATATTCTAGAAAATTAAGTAGATACATAAATTATATTAATATCTCTGCTAAAAGCAAAAAAATAATTTGAGACTCCGCAAATACTAATGGTATTAAAAAAAAGAAAAAATACTCGTATGAGTCCGTGATATCACACGGCCAGGGGAATTGCCCCCGCGCTCACGCTGGCACGGCCTTGCTAAAAGATTCGGTCCAAAAGTAGAAAAACAATTGGAAGGGAGGGGCTAGGGATTCGGAATGGAAGAAGAGAAACAAGAGATGGTGACGCCGGGGGAAGTGCTGGGTATTGCCTCCGAAGTGAAACCCGGTCAAGGTTCATATCTCGCTCCTCACAACAACACCGTCTATGCTTCTCTAACTGGTTTCCGCCGCATCTTGTCCCCTCCTCCTGCTTCTACTGACCAGGTTTTGTATTCTCCCTGGGGTTTCTCTCTCCATTAATCCCTTCTTTGCTCATCTCTATCTCCATTTGTCCATTCACCTTTCTGCTCTTGTTGCCATGCAGATACCTACTGTTGAAGTAACTGGTCACAAAGCCCACGGACCTGTGCCACAGCCTGGTTCTGTTGTCATCGCACGAGTACTTTCTCACTCATCCCATTCACGATACTTTCACTTACAACATACCCGTTCTTCTTTCTTAAAGTCCTTGTCTGAATTTCCATTCCTCATCTCTATATGAAAAAAATTATTTCTCTCAACCCTTATCCTTTTTTATTAGCTTGTCTACTTCTTGTTCTCTCTTAACCACCATGAGGAATGAGAAAATTTAAGGCAGTTAAACTTACATATTATCGCAATCAAGTTGGTAAAAGTGGATTTTGAATTTAAAAATAAATTAGAGTTAGTAAGAGTTAGGGCCAACGAAAGTGTTTTGCGAACAAAATACACGTCCCAATTTGATTAGAAAAATAAAAAAAGTACATCACAACAAGAAGCCTTACTTATCCCACTCGGCGGGTACCCTATATGAATCACACAACTTACTGTCAATAATCAAGCCTTTGATATGTTGTTAACCAGAGGCCTTGTGCAACAATTTCGTTGTTTTTAGTTTTCTTTTACTCCTCTTCATAGTACTAAAGAGTACATCCAGTATATAAAATTAAATACCAAGTTTTTACCGATCTAGGAACTCTACATAGATTTGTATCACTCGCGATAAACTACAGATACAGCTTCTTTTTATTACATTAGAGGGGTTGGAATTTTTATTTTGTTATATATTTCTAGTTAGTTGATTTTGCCTGGAAGAATACATGTTTTAGTTCTGAAAGCTTTGTTCTTGACGTTTCTAGTATTTTTGAGCTAGATCATCTGAAAATATCATGCACCATATTAATTTTTTTAACCTTTGATGGGGGGTCACTTTCTACCATTCTGCTTGGAAAATGAGCATCTCCCTCCCTCGTTCTCTAGTATATGATTTTTTTTTTTTTGGTTTAAACAATCACACATTTATTGGATCATGATAGGTCACCAAGGTGATGTCTAGGTCAGCTTCTGCTGATATTATGTGTGTTGGCCATAAGTCAGTTCGAGAAAAATTTACTGGGATAATTAGGTATGTCTATGCTATACTTTTACTCAAGTGAATTTACTGGCATAATTATATACGCTGGATGGTATAAAGTATATATTTACAGAAGTGTACTTGCTCGAGCCGTAGATGCCCTAACATTTCAGACATCAATATTTACAGCATATGCTGGTGAATCTGGCAAAAAATACAGAAAAATTCTGAAATGTTTGTCAGATTACTAATGTGTTCCAGCAATGAAACTAGCCTAATTGGAACTCTAAAATATATTGCTTGGAAAAAACAGCACGTGGCTGTTGTTATGCAGTTATATTTTTCAACCTTATTTTTAAGTATATCTTATACAAGCTTGCATACACAAGATATATCCCATTATGTTCAGAAACTTTCCTGTGAAAAAATTATTTTTATAATTTTACACTTGCTGCTTGCACACATCTTTGTTGTTATAGAATCCTGAAGGGCTGCCTCCCCCCTGTAAACCCCAGTTGTATATCTGTTGTCTTACTGGCATTGGTTGGCTAAAGAAATTGGTGGACCTTGTTTTTATGTGGCTAAATCACGTGTCAGTCGATATCGTATGCATCTTTTATGAACTTGGCAAAGCTGTCATTTTAAACTGTTTCACTGCTTTGTTGCTGGAAATATGCTTGGTATTCAACCAAAATCATCCGACCTTGTAGTTATAGAATTTTTGAGAAATCCAAGCAATTAATGGGCAAAATAGGAGAAATTTGAATAATTTCTGTTTTTATTATTAAATTTACTTCATTTGTGGTTGGTTGGTTATCTTGATCGCACTTCCTATGTTGGCTGGTCTGGGGAAACTCTGATGTTTTACTTATATGGTTAGATAAAGTATGTTCATTTTTGACAATGTGCCTGTGTATATGTTTCTTATTTTGATAGGCAGCAAGATGTAAGAGCAACTGAGATTGATAAAGTTGATATGCACCTATCTTTCCATCCTGGCGACATTGTTAGAGCTCTTGTGGTATTAGTTCTTCACGACAAAAAAATCAACTTTACATGTAATTTTTAAATTAACCAGCTGCTATTTGGATGCTTCTCTCATCACATATATTGTTTACTAGCTTTCTCTTGGAGATGCACGAGCCTACTATCTGTCAACGGCAAAGAATGAACTTGGTGTTATCTCTGCAGAAAGCACTGCTGGTGAGGTTTTACTCGGGATTTTGAGAGTTACACCTGCAGAACTTGTTTTACTTGTTGCTAATATACTGTCGCTAACCTATAGTTAGTGGACTGGGTGAATGCTTGTTTATTACGCGGTGCAATATTTCTGGTATTATTGTAATGGCGCGTTTAATCAAATTTATATGGGGTGGCATACGGACTGATAATTTTTTTCCTAGTTCAGAAATTATTTCATGCGTCATGTACCCACAGGCTTCAACTCATGTAATTTGTGGTTTAGGTGCGACCATGGTGCCAATAAGTTGGACAGAGATGCAGTGCCCACTAACCGGTCAAATCGAGCGAAGAAAAGTTGCGAAGGGCAAAAGCTGAGAAGAATGCCAAACATCAAGCTTCTATATGTTGATTGAGCCCCCCATTAATTGGACAATATCGTGTAGAATCCTACTAACAAGCTTTGTCAATTGTCATCACTGTCAAAAACTATAGCTAAAGCAGTTTTCCTGAGCCAAGGTCAGGGATGCGATCACGATATCACCGTTGAGACATGTCTGATAAGTAATGCACTCATTCAACTTTCAGTTACATCTGATGGCGCTGTCTTTGGTTCTCAATTCTCATTCTAAGGCAGTTTGAACAGTCACACAGCTCACGCAGTAGAAATGGAATATATTTGAGGGAGATTTTTAGTGCTGTGGGCTGTGTGGCCCTTCTGAGGCTGGGCAGTTTGAACACTCACCACAGCTCACGCAGTTGATGCTTTGTTTTATTTTTGACCGGGAAAAGGGGAAAACAGGCGTTAAGTATTCTTCAAAAAACATTAAAAAAGAAATTGCAAATCTTTAAATTATTTTAACTTACTATTTACTTGATATCAATGCATCGTGCGAGGAGTTATTTTTTATCGCAGTCTATATAACATGTAAAAATGTTGTGGCATTTTAAGTTTGTAAAATAAATTTAATGGCATTTTGGGGTTATAAGAACTAAATTGGAACAATTACATATTGGTTTAAGGTTTCTTAATCTAGATTTTCAGAATTGCTTTATTTAATAAATTAAGACTAATAACATGCCATAAAATTTATATGAAGTATGCCGTCGGCTCATTGGTTCGTTATTATTTAAAGCCCAATATCTATGATCGGCGGAATTTCAGTGGCCGTCACTCATCTGAACTGGCTTCCTTGGTGACACGACAAGGATATAATGGCTTCGCTTCCTTTCCTTCCGCCCCTATCCAAATTGTGCTCCCCTCTTGCCCCCCTTCCTCGCCGCCTTTCTCGACGTATCTCTTCCTTTCCCTCGCCTACTTTCACACCCGGCATCAGCCCCTTCCTCTCCAAATCCTTCGTCATCCGTTTTGCTCTATCTGAGTCCGATACTCCCAAATCCTTAGGACCTGACCCTCAATCTCTCCTCCAAGAAATCGCTGTAAGCTTTTATCTCTTCCAAACTTGCCATCCCAATTTATGGTTTTATTTTATGTCGGGTTTTCTACTTCAATTGTTGATCTCGTGCTCTACTTTTGCCATTCTTACGTGTTTCCGCTGCAGGACAGTTTCGATCTTTCTTCGGATTATTTTGCTCAGCTTCCACGCGATCTTCGATTAGATGTAAAGAGCTTATGTATTTTTATCTCTTTAACTTCATACCTTTTCGATTATGTATAACAGAAGTGTCCATGTTGTGATTTGTGAAGCTCAACGATGCCGCTTTTGACCTTTCGAACGGACCTATCATGGATGAGGTTAGTAATAATTGTAATTGCCATAATTACCAGCTTTTCCCCAGTTGGAAAGCCTTTCTTTGTCCACTTTCTGATTGTTTTCTGTATGAATGAAACTGGTTTACTTTGAATTATCATTTATCTCTTTCTGGTGGGTGTAATAAAAAATGTCTCTTCAACGGAATATAGTAGCTCACGAACGCAGTGGCTCATCTTTCTTACATTCATAGCCGTAAATACACACATGGTGATGCTGATGTGAGACATCCCTGAATGAATTGGCGCTTTCAAGCGATAAAGTGATTCCTTCTGTCCTTAATGCATTTTTCATTTCCGAATTACATTTTAGACATTGCTATCTTGTATGTGTTCCAGTGCCTTTTCTGTTTTTGGTAACTGGGAATTTCTTTGAGCTATTTGGAAACAATTTGTTTTATGGGAACATAATTTCACAGTGTGGCCAAGAGCTTGGAGAGATATTACTTAACCTTTCTCGGGCATGGGAACTTGCTGACACATCAAATTCCCACTCCTTGGTTAGCAAGCTACCTTTGTTGGCGGACACTTTGACAGGCAAGACCAGATCAGGTAAGCCACTGAACCATGCAGTCCATGTTCATACATCCATCGAGGCTTGTCCTACCAGCCCCCTCCCCCCAAAATAAATGAATTTGATTTGAATATCTTATTGGTTTGCTGCTCAGCACTTGGCAAGCGATTGTTGTCTGCTGGAAGAAGGTTTCAGTCTATGGGAAAATATGGCCAAGGTGAGCCAGAAAAGGTATTTACACATTACACCGCCTAATGTGGATTGCTGTCTTTTTTTTTTTTTATTTATTTATTTATGTTATCTGGTTCATGGAGGCAATTATAATTGATTCCTTTCACAGTAATAACTATGACTCGTCATCTGATAACTCTCTAAGTGTGTCCAGTGACTAAATGAAGTGTGTGCTGTGCGTTATTTATTGCATGCGGCAGGCTCGTTAAAATTTTGGCTACAAATAATGTGTAGAAAAAATATTGATTTCATAATCGATCAATTGCTTGTCTTACACAAGTCAATCTTCTCTCAGTATTCATCAGCATGATCAAATGAGATGACGTATTTAAATCTGTGGTCTTCCTTCCCCGCTTATTGGATTAATACACATAAGGCATGTTTCAATACTTGAAGTAGTAATCTGCTTCTAAGTGACAGTTATATCATGCAATGTCTGACCATAATAGATTGCAAGAGCGATGATTACAGCTGGGAGGAATCTATGTGACACTTCCACATCTGCAATAACAGGTGAACCACCGAAGGAGCAAGCTAGAATGCTGAAGGTTAGTGATTAGTGTTTGTCTCTGCTTATGGAAAGTTGCCTGTAATTTATGAGGAATCTTCACCATAAAGCTGCAAATAAATTAGTAATGCTGCTGCGAACTGCAGTTTGGAGAATTGCAGGTTGAATTAACACCAAATAAAGCCAATATTGGAGCGGCAATTGGTTTTGTTTTTGGGTAAGTTTCCCATGCGCTTTCTTTTCATTTTGATTCATATGACAGTCCAAGAACGGGAAAGTTAATTTCCCCACCCCCCTAATTATTATATTACTGACAAAATTTAAATGAAGGGTTCTTTCATGGGAAATAGCCCAGGGAATTCAAAGCATTCCTGAGAGTTCTTTGCAGTATGCAAATGAGAATGCTTTGCTGCTAGCTAAGGTGCTTTAAAAGAACATCCGATTGAAATTTCTCTTATTTACTACTTAAAAGTTAAACCTTCTGACTCCAAAGTATCGTCATCTTCGGTTGCAGTCTTTGAGGGGGGCAGTGCTTGCTCTTTTCTACTCGTCAACGTTCTTGTCTGCATTTACTTCAGTGGGACTTGTCCTCCTCGGGATCCAGATCAAATCCAAGAAAGATTGAGTTTATTGGGGAGTCCTTCCCAGTTTTGCTTGTGAATGATGTTGTATGTGCATAGCTTATCGTGAGAAGTACATGCCATCATAGTGAAGGACCAGACTTCGTCTCATGGTCCCAGTATGTTGTCCACCCAGTCACAGTATATAATAATTGTGGGACATACATATTATATATGGCACGTGACCAGTTTGGCGCTTGCTTGACAGTCCAAAAATGATTCGTTTTATGGGCATTCGGCAGGGTACGCTTGAACTAGGTAGGGTATTGTTTTACTTGCCGCATGGTCTTTCCAACCCAGATGCTAAATACTATAGGAACAAAAACAAACTACGTACATGGGATATATTGATGATGTCAGGAATCAATACTGATGAGGTGGCGATGAACGGGGTTGGGATTTTCATACGTTCTTAGCAGTAATAGCACCAGCATGTGAAAAAGAATTTGCCTCCTCCGCCAGGAAAATTCTGGTATTGTAGGACTGGGTTTCATTCTCGATGCCTTCCTCCTGCACTCGCATGGGCAGTTGAGTTTGAAAATAATAACACAGAAACAAAAGAAGTTAAAAAAAAAATTAACAACCAAAAATCTGTTAAATGAGAGTGCAATGGGGAGGTACTCGGAGACAAAACCTAGTCGTATTTTACGCATGCCTCGTATTTTCCCTTTGCTATGTTCCTGATGCGTCAGCACAAAGCATGGAGCCACCTTATCCTAGTGCATTTCTACCGGTAATCAAAGGGACCATCGAAGGTTCTTTTTTAGCAAACGTTAGTGGCGTACAGGGATGGCAAGTGAGCAAGGAGCCCACTGGGAGGGTAGTGATCTCATCTCCCACGCGCGCCCTAAATGGATGGCCGCCTTTGAATTGTTAAGGCTGGAAAGAATATAAATATATCAAAACTTCTAAAGCTTTTTTTTTTTTATAAAAAAAAATCCCTACCTCTATTTTAAATTATAAAATATTTTTAAATAAAATTTTATATATTAATAAAATTTATTAAATATATTTTACAATCTTATTTTTTAAGATAGAATATAAATTTTTAAAAATTTCCTTCATTTAATACTTCATTAATAAAATAATATTAAAAAGAAAAAAATATGAGGAGGATAACATTGAAAAAGTATCATTAATAAAATTTTATTTTTATTAAAATATTTTATATTTTGAAATACTGAATTTTTTTTAAAAATATTTTATAATTTAAGATAAAAGAATCACTATATTATAATTTAAAAAGAAAGGAGTACTGCAAGAAACCAATCTACGTCTGTAACATCCTGCGTCTTTCAACGAGAAGACAAAACTGTTTTTATTGTTGCGCAGACGTTCTATTTTAGAAGAAAACGATAATAGAATTAACCGACGCACATGGATCATTCACAGAAGTACAAAGTTGGCTAAATGCCACGTTCATGAGGATGTGGATGACGAAGATGTTTAAGATGCATAATGGAAAAATTTAATTATGCTTGTGCTGCATTTGGATTCAGCCATATGGTATCACCAAACCTCACCTCACCTTGATTGATTTGCTTTTAAACAAGGTAATGCTTCACAGGAGTCTGAGTGTACAATATAATGCAATGTTTTTGTTATTGACTAGGTTAAAAATTGCAGTTTTCCAATCCCTTCCATCGAGAACAAATTGCCAAGAAAAGACGTGGCGGAAGTGGCAGGAACGAACAAGAATGAGAAATGTATGATGAAATAATACGTACAATTGATGAAGAGAGTTGAGGGGAGAGGGAGATACATGTGGAGGATCAAGGGCAAAGGGGATTGCGGCCGGGGCCGCCGTAGTAGAAGTAAGTACCCCAGTCGGTGCTGTACGAGCTCTTGATATCGTAGCAGTTAGTGTTCTCGGCTAAAGTTTGGATGTTTTGGACGCCGCTGAGACTGTTATCGGTGTCCACTATCTCAAGGTTCCGAAAGTAGCTGGCCTTTCCGAAGCCGTCGTCGGGAAAGTGGCCGGACCCCATCTGCGTGGACGTGTGCTGCCCGTTGGCTCGTGTGTTCACCACCTCCCCGCCCCATTCCACCATCGTGGCGTGGTCTGCTAGGTGTGTGAATAGCTCTGCCGGCCAATACCCTACCAACGTGTTGTCCCCGAAACTCATCCACCAATTCCCCACTTTCGGGTCCTATATCACAACAATCTCTCATGTCATGTATCAAGGTTTCTGGGTTTGTACAACCAATAACAATCAATATAAAGTTATCAACTGATGGTGATGATGATGATGATATAGCTAGTAATGAGACCTTCCAAATGAGGATTGTAATGTCGTACTGGTTGGAAGCGTAGGAAGACACGGGAGAAATGGCAGCTCCGATGGCTACCCTGCTATTGGTCTGGACAAAACCGGCACACAAGAGGTTATAGCATCCGGTTGCTTGATATGAGTCACTCTGCAATATAACCAGATATTTAGGCAGCCGCGTTTGAATTCTGATTACTATATAGTAATGTATAGGGAAACATGAGAGCTAGCGAGAGAGGTCTGACCGTCCAATAAGTGAATAATCGGGGTCTGCTGTCACCATAAAGCTCCGGACTGACCTGTCTAGTGCAATAATCAAAGCGTCATAATAGAAAATGAAGCCGAAGGATCTCAGGAAGCTAAAAAGGAGGAAGGAAGAGTAAAAACCTGCCATCCAGCTTCGATGCTGTTGAGGTCGGTGCCGTCGAAGGATCCGGAGAGGATCCAGATCTGGGAGAGGCTGAACTCGTTCACCACCTGGATCGATGGGTCCCACACGTTTATTGTCGCCCTCGCCCCGTACACCTCCTCCGTTGTTCCCGTGTACGCTATCGCGTGCTGCACCCAAAAACCCATCTTCATTTCCTTAATCCCACTCCATCTTGTATTTTCACCTAGACCTAGGTGCATTGTAGCTAATGCTAATAGTATCCTCATTACTTATTGTTAACTTCTCGTTGCCTAAAAACGATGTTATGATATGTAATTAATGAGGTTGAAATTAAGGAAAGAGAAGCAAGCAAAAGGACCTCGTGGCCGTTGCCGGAGACGACATCGGGAGCGTCGGTGCGGCGGGAGAGAGGATTGGGAAAGCGGCGGGGATGTTTCTTGCCAAAATGGAACAAGGACTTAGCTCTCAACACGTCCTGCACCGTGCTCCTCCTTATGGGAATCGTCCCCTTGGGGCACCGCGTCCCATTCCGATGCCACATTTGCGTTATCATCTCTTCTGCTCCTTCTGATCTTTCTCCCTCCGCCTCCTCTTTCTTCTTTCCCCTCGGCATCCCTGTCGGCGCCCTCTGTTACACTCCATACAATGCATCTCTATTCACTTATTATTCTTTTCTGTTATACTTCTCTTCTAATTGTCCAACGGCATCAGAGAGTAAAATGGAGAAGAATGATAAATAGTTGCACCTGGATCTTGTGGTCCTTCAGGAGCGGATGATCTAGAGCTGGTTGTTCTATCTTGTGAACGCAGTCGATGACATCCCCGTCTGGGCTCTGGAATTATCAACCTCGTTCATAAGATCAAAGGAAGAAATGAAAGCGGTAGGAAAAAAAAAAAAAGGTTATTACCTCTATGGTCAGGACAGGAGGCTTGTTAATGGTGCGCAAGTGCCTTTGAATCCTCTCCAGCCTGAGGCTGCTGACAGGCCTGTACCTGGTGTAGTTTAGGGTGGCGGAAGCGCTGCGTAGAAGAACCGCGAAAAACAAAGCCACGACAAGAAGACGACGATCGGAACATCTGATCCTCCTCCCAGGAGTACCCATATCTCTTTCAGTGCCGAGAAAGAAGCCGGGTATTGTCTTTAAAACAAGTCAAAACCCGGAAACCATTAGTGGCTAGGCAAAGAGCAGAGTAAATCTGACTGTGGTAGGCATTAGACGAACAAGAAAGAGAAAGTCAGAAATGGAGTCGGGGCTCTGGTGAAATATTAAATGGAGAGGAAGGGGAGGTGGGTGAGGCTAATTAAGCATGGGCTCAGAGGCGCCATCCAGATCATGATTGCCAGCATTTGATTCATGTATTTGAGGGCGATGTATATTATTAATTCAAACATTTGTGTGTCGGAGTGACGCAAGTTGGATGAAATGAAAATAAGGAATCGTGGAAGAGGGTGGATTTTATCCTGGCTTCAAAGCATTGCAAAGACGGAGACCCACCTAACTGAAACACCCACCTTTTATTGCACTCCTTCAATGTGCATCTGCCACCATGCCCTTTGCCATTAATAATTTTTTCTTCTCTCCTAACAACCTCCCCCATCTTCTCTCTTCTTCTTTAATTTTAATTTGCTTAACACTTGACACTCTCTCGCCCTATTGCCACGTGGCGCTGCATTCTTAGCTGCTACAAAATCAAGTTCACTCTCGGACAAGCCAAATCTTAATTAGGTTTCAATAACACACAGTATGACTATCTATTGCCTGTGAGTTTGAAGGGGGAGCATATAATTTAAGTTACACGTGCCGGATGTGCGTACGGAGATGCATCCTCAGAATTTTCTTGCTGGCTACGGACCTACACTGGACGATAGCCTGCTATCAGTAGCTGGCTAGCTCTTGATTATGAAGGAGTAACTAACAGATACTGGATTGATTCATCTCTCTAATTAGTGTAATTAATTACAAATATAAAATTAGACGAAATCCAAGGGAATCTACTGGAGGGTTTAGACGTAATTGGAGAGAAGGAAGATGCAAGGTCAACGTATTGAGAGTTGAGAGCTGCCAACTTGAAGCTCTGTGCTGTCCCCCGTGCATGTGCCGCGTGCAATTCAAAATCCATTTCATAAAATACGACTACTGGTGCTCTTAACATGACGATGCTCTTGCAAAATGAGGAGGAGGTGGTAATTGGTAATTACTGCTATTCGTTTACGTCCCCTTCTCGAATCTGGGGTGTTGAATACAAAATTTTAGCTGCCAGAGTTAGACGGCGGCGAAGACTATAATAGTGGGGCGCCTGAAAATTAATGCCCTTCACGGCTGAAGCTTTAATTCCACCCCTCCACACAACTCATTTCATTATTATTATTAATTCTTGTTTAATAGTGGGACTGTATTCTCTGATCTACATCCCTCGGGTTACAGCATGCGCCTTCAGTTATTTGGAATTCGTTCATTGAATTATCTCGTTCTTTAAATCTTTTTATCCCTCCCTTGTAAATATGATCAGAGGGAATAATTTTAATTCATACAAAACAAGGACGTAATTAATGAGGTCACGTTCTTTCAAATATCTCGTTTAAATTAACTTGATTTTAATTAATTCTTCCTCTCATCCACTCTCTCCAGTTTCCACTACAATCAATCGACAATATCCGTATATACAAAAGATACCACGGGGAGAAAATAAAAACATTACTTTCCTCCGTTTATAATCACAAGGCATAATTTTAGTGTGTTGTGTTTCAGGTAAAATGTTAATTAAGAGTAATTAATACGTTGATCCCGAAAAATGCCGTTGACAAAGGAGTACTCAATTATCTGACTTTATTCATTTGATTCATTTCCCCTTAAAAAGTTTTCTTATAATTATTTTGCAATTTATCAATTATTACAAAAAGAATTAAAATGTTGTACTTTTTGTTTTTTTATAAACAAAATCACGTATTACATATTTTAATACAGTTATTCTAAAGTACTCCTCATAAAGTCCATCATTTTCATTCATGAGATAAATAACGAATGCATTCTTATTTTGATTAACAAGGTTAGTATGTTAGTACAGTTTTTTTTTTTTTAAATTTTCAAACACAATTATTACAGTTAATCAAAATTTTAAAATTGTGCGACATAATTATTTCATCTTATATATAAAAACAAAGCGATCATATATCTGTTGGAATATAATCAGGCTTAGAGCTAGATTGTGGCAAACTCTTTGGGTGTTTTGCATTAGTACTCCGTAAAGTTAGAAGGCAAAAAGCACGGACAGATGTTCATGTTGATGGTACAATGTTTACCCGAATTGATTAACCGGGCAAAGTGTGTGAATGTACGGAGGAGCTCCTTGAAATGGAGTTCCTGAGAGTTTGAGGAAAGCAACATAAATCCTTTTAAATTATCCAATTCGGAGATTCGAGAATGCACTGTGTAGCTTGGGAATTTCAGGGAGTTATTCACCATTTGCAACGTAACAAAGAGCGAGGAGCTTTGCTTTCTACGAGTATTGTCTTGGAAGGCAAGGCGGTGACTGGCGAGTGATGAGAGATGAATTAGGCATCAAGACTCCATCATCTCAATACCAACCTTGCCCTTCACACAGCCACGGGATGTGGCCCAGTTGGGTTACAGGGCTGTTTTTAATTAAGGAAGCATCTACGACACTGGGCCTCAGAGCTACTGGTAGCTTCTCTACTTATCTTCTATCTCTCAATCGCACTTCATTATCTTCACGTTGCCCTGCTGGAATTAATGTCATTTTCAGTGTCAGGAACCTAAAAACTCTGACGCTGCCCGGCTGAAAGCCATAACTGTTGTATCCAGTATCTCCATATATATAATTTAAATAAGATAATAAGTTAACATGGGTAAAGTTCATGACTTATGACTCTGATTATTTTAAATGTAGGTAGACACGTAATCTAGTATGCCTCTCTAAATTTTTTGGAGAGTGAAAAGATAGTAAAGAGAATGGAAAATAAACGTATATATCGGTTATTGACTGATTGCATTATATGAATTATATTAATAACTGTCTTAATAATTAAATTATTTAATTAATCTCTCATTATTTTTGACTTGACCAGTTAAGAAATAGGGAACAACCGATTGATACAGGGTTATAGGTTAGATCTCTACTTATTGGGCTTACTTATATAATATCCTAGAGAATTTAATTCCTAATTAACTGAGTAAATGAAGTTAATTAAATAAATCAATGTGATGTGTGGTTATAGAGAGCTAATTAGTGTTATGAGTTGTGATTTCAGCCTTAGAATTGAGTTAGAGTGAAGTCAGGCCATCCGAGTGTCAAAAAGTGAGAAAAACAAAGGGAAATGATATTGTGCCACACACTGCAGTGCACAAGCCATCAAAAGGTAAGAGTCCCTTATCTATACCATATGCTGTGATGTTGGTACAAGCGCCTATAGTGCACGAGTGAAATTTTACAGAAATAAGTCTGCATCAGAGTTTGAAAACAGAAGAAAGATAAGAGAAAAACAAAGAGAAACGCGAGAGCTTTGTTAGGGTTTGAAGGATTAAAGCATCGAGAGTGTTTTGGTTATGAGTCCAACCCCATTGATTTAAATATAGTTAATGAGAGTTATTTAGGTTATTTAAATCTAACATTTATAACTCTATGCATTTTTGGTAATTGGAAGTCATAAATACATGAAATTTTACCATCAATGAGGTAGTTGGTATAATGTGAAGCCATTAATAACTAGTTGGGAGTTCGATGAGGTTTATGGGAGTTAGAGTAAGCTAATGAACCCTATACCTTTATATATAAAAAGATTGAATTGTGAAAGTATTGAAATGTGGAGATAAATACTGAAAGTTATACAAAAAAAGGATACTGATGACTTATATTGTGATTTAATGTAAAGTGAACATATTTGGCACCATTCAAGCTTTGTGAAAGCTTTGAAAGTGTGTACGTTTGAGGGCTAAGCTTTTGATCTCTCAAAGGTTTAAAATAATTAGGGAAATTCTTTCTTATGCTTTTGTGTGTTAATTAATTTATTAATTTAATTGTTATAATTGAAGTGTATAAAAATTATTTAAAATGCAAGTATGGCATAAAATATTTGAAAATCAAATAATGTGTTTTCATAGAGTTCAATCACATGATGTATGTGTAGTTCTATGACATGATTTTTGTGGAGTTCAATAATGTAATGTGTTTATAGAGTTTAATGAAATGTGTGTGAAAGGAGTTCAATAATTTTGTAAGTTATGGAGTTCTATGAATGTTTGTAAAAGGAGTTCAATGATGCTATATGTTGTGAAGTTTAATGATATGTTGTTATATATTTGTGAGATGAACATTTATAGTGTGAGTACAATAAGAATATTAAGTATGCTTGTGTAATACTTATTTGTATGCTATGAGAAAATTATATTTTTATGCATTATATGATTATAAGAGGTGAGAGGTCACCTAAAAAGAGGAGTAATGAGTAGAAATTCACATAATAAGGCTTCTATTAGAGCTTGATGGTTTACCTGTATAACATTGTTGTTATTGTCCCACTTATTTAATGAGAGATTGTCCTACTTATTCTATGAAGGACTTAAATCTAACTATTTTTTTACTTGATCAATAAGAAAGCTAGTTTAGGAAGAATAATACCCATAGTGTGAGATTTGGAGAAAACTGTAATCCACGAGTGAGTTAGAAAATTTTGGCCGGGTAAACCCTCATACATGAATGACAAAGGTAGTCTCATCTTATAAACAATTCCAGTGTGTTATATCACATAGTTTCGTGTCAGAGGCATAATGAGGATATAAGGGAGGTGTGATAATGTATATTATGATAAAAAAGGCACATAGTTGTATGTACTGTCACTCTTGTGATGAAAACATATAATTAGTAGTATTACAATGTGAAAATAAGATATTGTGTTGTCACATTGTTATTATATGCTTGTAATGATGTAAAATGTGAATATGTGTCTGAACATATTAAGTTGACATGTGTATGATAACAATTGCCACTTACACTTATATTAATTGGCATGCATTAGTATAAGTTATATAGATCTTGGTTATTAAACAGTTATACTCACCTCTTTCTCTTCAATATTATAGGAGTTAGCTCATTGGGATTAGAGGAAGGGAAACAAACTTAGGCTTAGGATTTCGATCTTAAAATTGTGGGCCTTTTTTATTTTGAGTAATATATGTATATAAGTATTATTAATATTGATAATTAGAAGTTTACATGTGCGCTTACTTGCATTATGTGTTGGTTAATGTTAAACTGTGTATTTTGGGCCTTAGGTTGAGAAATGTGTAAAATTGTGAAATCTAAAAAAGGTAATAATACTAGTGCAAATAAGGAGTGAGTAAAAATATAATTGATGTTGAATGATTATGACATTGAGGCTCTCCCTTTTATTTTTGTGATTAAGGGGT